TTTGTTAATTTAAAGATTTAAGATCAGCTGCCAAAATGCCAGGCTTTCACCTGGAAGTCGGTCTGAAAGCTGTGTACATTTAGCAAATTATAAGTAACCCAATTACTTGTATTATTTTCATCCAATTGTAGTGCTTCTGAAAAACTTCCAAAAGGTTTTTTGTCTAAACACATGGTAGGAATATCATGTTGGCAGAAAGCAAACTGAAATACTACAGCTACATTTTTCTAACTGGTGCTGGTGTTGAAATAAAGGAATAAGAGCTTAATTCAGTGGTGATGGTCAATTTCTGTTGTGTATAATCAGTTTTAAGTTATTATTCTGTGAAAAGGTCTTTAATCCATCAACCTATTTTTAATTAAGAAGATAGATTTTCTTTACAGTGTCTTTTGATTCTTTTGGTATTCACTGAACACTGTGGTGACTAAAGGAGGTGGTTGTCTTCTTCCAGGATTTAAATCACAAATCATATTTCTGTTAGTTGTCACCAGAAGTACATTATCTAAGTTTACTCAGAGTAATCGGCTAAGGTGATTTGTAGGAATTTTAACTTTCTGAAGCAACTTCTTATCCTATTGCACAATTTTTTAGAATTATCCTTAGAATCTCTTTAAACTATATTTTCCTTCAGTTAATATATTCATTCAGGAAGATTGATCAGAACCATCTCAGCCATCTCCTGTACCGATTGATAACTGGACAATAAATGATGACATTTTGAGAAGTATAATCATGCATTTATTAACATTTTCGATACATGTCAGGTTGTAAAAGCATTTATAAAATTAAACCTTCAGACAGTCACATTTCTTTTATGTCAATGTTTGGGAAATCGTTCATGTCTAGATGATGCACAAATTGAAAGCCGCATTCATTTTCTGGACTATCCGCTGATGAATATCGGACAAGAGATGATTGGCGCCTGCGGTGGAAGTCGTTCTGAGCAGAGATTTAACCAAAGTGCAAATGCCAGCAGACATACGTCGAAGTTTCGCCTTCGTCCACGGTCCTGTGCGATTGTACATCCAGAACGAACAGGGGTTAGACTTCCACTTTAACCTAACCTTACTGTTGTAAATGTGTGGTTATAGTTTCCTTACTTCGTAGCTCTGGATGAAGATTAACATGGATTATTTGGAGCCATAATTCGACAAACGTGTCGACCAAGTTCCTCATTCCATTTTTTACACGTGGCCTCTCATGGAGTGACCCAATTGCGGCGTAGAGGGACATCTTCACGCCATTTACTTGCTCCATCTTAGACTCCTATAATCGACGAAATAATTGCTGAATGGACCGTGTGACACTGGTAACTCTCAGCACGACTAATTTATAACAACATACGATAGAAACAGACTTACTTGAGAAAAGGTACAATGTTTGAGGGGGGGGGGGCTTTTCTTTTTGTGGCTACGTCCTTACAATGTTTGAAATAGATAGAGAGAGCAAGAACAGTGTTGCCAAGTGCCTCGGGCCGTTTTAACCACACAGGCTGTCCAAAATTCCAACAAGAAGGCGAAATTACACACAATCCATTTATAGTGGCAAATAGGCTTTATACAACTTAAAATTGCTGTAAATTTAGACCAAATTTTACATTTTTTTTAGGGTTTCTAAAGATCTGCAGTGCGCATTTTTATGCTTTGAAAGAAGGTCTAAAGTAGTTTAAAGGATGGCATAGCTTAGCCGTTGGAGGAGCGGGACCTGTGTCATGTTTGATTTGAAGTTTAGTCGAACACGATATGAAATGGCACTTTAATTATTTTAAATCACAGAAATAAAACAAAATACAAATTGAAGGAACATTGTTCACTTCTTTGGAATATGATCATACATAGTCTGATTATGATAGCCTAGATGCTCCTTTCGAAAATTAAAATTTGTACAGTTTAACTTATCAAACTACTTAACGTATGTGCCTCGAAGAGTCGGTCGATACTCCTCGGCCTGGAGTAACGCGGTGGTTGGGCGACCGGATATCGTCGCTGGTCCGGCGGTGGCCTGGCAGCGGGGAGCTGCGTGCTGGGGGCGCCTGCCGGGTAGGCCGCCAACGTTACAGCTGTGTTGACGTGGTGTCCCGACAGGAGCTGGGATGCGTGGTCCGGGAGTGGGTGTCTCAGTAGTGTCTGCCGGAGTAGATGGTAGAGACATGACGGGGCTGCTGTCAGACGATCGGCAGGTAGGGTCCTGAAGGCGGGCAGAAGCTGAGTGACAGTAACAGCCCATAGGAACGGCATGAGTAGCAGCGGCCCGAATTCCGGAACATACAGAGTTGTGCTCTCCTGTCAAAGTATTCTCGTTGTCACTTCCAAAGCCAGGCATCTTACCATTAGATCTTCCTTTGTCCTTAAATTTCGAAAAATATGAAAATCAGTAAAAATTATACATTCTACCGCGCCGCGCAGGGCGGTTGTCGTCGGTCATTCCCGGCCGCGGTGTAGTGAAAGCAAAAATTGCTGTGATGTTGTTACTTTCTTAAAACTGAACTAGTTAACTTGCCCTGTCCCCACGCTTTGAATACTTTAAACCATGAATCATGAAGTGCCCTGGACAGAGAACCATTGGCGGCGGCGGCAGCCTTGGGCTTCGCAGCGACCTTCTCGACCTTCTCCTTGGAGGCGAGTTTGAAGGAGCCGGAGGCACCCTTGCCCTTGGTCTGGACGAGTGCGCCGCTGGCGACGGCACCCTTGATGTACTTCTTGATGGCCTGGACATATTTACTTACTGATAGCGCAAGGACACTCGATCGGCTCGGTAAAGTTAGCACCGTATTGCAGCACCGTATAGCTATAGCCATAGCTATTGCAGCTTGCAATAATGCATGAGTTCCTGCTTAGAGGCTATGTTTAGAATCAAGTACCTTTTATATTTTATAGCCTGTTCCCTGAATAATGATGCGCCTTTTTCCTTTCAGTCACAGGTTTTTATTTACAGCCGTTCAAGAGGGTTACAGGTCCTTTAAGGGTTCTTCAGGGCGGCCCGCGGAAACTCGACTCGAGGCTGTCGAGGCGGGCGGCGGCCTCCTGGGCGTCCAGATACGCGTTGGCGGCGGCCTCCTCCGCGGCCTGCTCGGCCTCCTCGGCCAACAAGCGGGCGGCTCTGGCTTCCTCGTGGGCAGCCGCCAGCTCGTTGGCCTCGTTGGTCCTTTGGCGGAGGTAGGCCTCCGCCGCGGCCTGTTCAGCCCGGTACTCTTCATGGGCTGACGCCTCGCAGCGGGCGCATAGCCGGCGGTAGGAGGGGCACCGCCGGCACCCCCACGGGTTTCCGACTAACATCGGGTCGGCCTGTCCGGGGCTGTCCAGCACTGTTAAACAATGGTCGTGTTAGTAACCTGTTGGGCCCTGTACTCTACCTTGTTCTCTGGAGCTTACAGGCCTCCTCCTCGCTGATGCTGCGGAGCAAGACTGGTGGCGACGCGCCGTCTGACGCCTGCACGGCCGCGGGGCTGGGGCCCGCTGGCGATGCGCTGGGCCCTGCCACGGCCCAGCGCCGGTCGGGGGTTGAATGCAGCTGCGACGGACCCACCACGTCCTCCTCATCGCTGGACTCGGACGCGGACGGCTGGCCCCCGGTGCTGTCGGCTGAGATCTAGCCCGTGGGCGCCGCCGCGGGCTGCGCGGCCGCCACCAGCTCGGTGGAAGGGTCGGCCCACCCCCCGACTGCCGGGTCCCACACCTGTAGTAGCACGTGACCCCGGTCGGCCCAGACGCCTGGACACTCGTCTGTAAGAATGGTTCTGGTTAGCACTGGTTGGTACGACGCGTGGCTGCTCGTGGTCCCCTGGTACTCACTGTGGAACACGACGACGTTGACGGACCGGAGCACGTGCCACATGGTGCTGGGCATGGTGATGCCGACGGGTGGGCTGGCTGGTGGAGAATGGCTGCTACTGCGGCCGACTCGGGTTTATATGCGGCGCTCCCCCACTCCTGCCTGGGCTGGGCGAGCTGCGTGCGGAGGGTGTTACAATGAAGTACACGACTGTTGATTGGTGGACGTTTGGTTTATTGCTCCTTCGTTACAGGGTTACAGGGCTGCTACAGGACCGTTCCGTTTCCATCTACATGCGCATTCCGCGACGCGGGGTGGCGGCCGCGGGCTCCTCTTCCTCCTCCCCCTCGGAGTTGAGCTGGCGGTCTGGACGGGCTGGTCGGTTGACCCGGCGGCGCCGGAGTCGTGGGGGGGGGGGGGGGCAGCTGCCTCCTCTCCGCGGTTCGCGGCCTGCGATGGGCGCAGCGGTGACTCCTCGACGGTGGCCGGTGCAGCCCACAGGCCCTCGAAGGCGGC